TAAGCATTTTAATATTGATTTTTATTTAGTTTAGTAAATTAGTTTGGAGTAAATGTAGTTCATAGTACAAGTAGTGTCAGAAGTAGTCTCGCAGTATAAGTGAAGTGAAGAAATGGGAAATCTTACATCAAAGTTAGGGGAAAGAGCTAAATTCACAAATAAAATTAGACAAAACAATGCGCACCAAAACACCTTGGCAGCCATCAGCGGCGCAACCTTGGCATTTATGATACGATTTATAGATATATATACGATTCTGAATGCTGGGGGGGGACTTCTACATCATTGTATTTCAACGTCAGATATTCGGTTAATGCACAATACAGGTTTATTAGTAGGTGGTGGTTTTTATTCCTGTGGAGGGCAGTAATACGACCATACAACAAGTAACGTTTAAATAGCTGTAAAACTTACAAGAAGAACTACAACGCACTATATAGCTACTGCGCATGCTCGCATTTAAGTAAAACTTCCGGTGTTGCTCAATGGCAAGATGGTGGGTCTGTGTCCGGAGTAGATGACGGTAAAACTCAAGAGACATTTGTTCTGTATTTTATTTATTGGACAGTGTGACTGTTACAAGTACTACAGAGCGGACCGTTCATCCTGTAAATATATTTGGATATAAAGTGGTGTTAAGCTGTCCAAAAACTCCTGAACTGTGTGGCCGAAGTGATGCAACATGGCAGCAACTCCTGTCAGAAGGTCCTTTCTCTCAGCACTAAGGAGAAACAGCGGCTGTCAGAATCGTGAATTTAAATGTTTAGCAGAGAGGACAGTCAGCCGGGTGTCATCTGCTGTGATATGTCACCACAGCGGAGCAGAGGGGAACACAAGGCTGGCCGAGGGACCCCGGTGGAGTGGGAAAGAGAAGATGGTCGGGACAGAAGCAGCAGCTCTCCTCTGATCAAGTCGGTCTCTGTGGGACTGGGACTCTGCGGTGCGGTGTTTCTGGACAGTCAGAGAGACGAGAAAGCAAAGGACAGAAGAGTCTCGATATCCGGGCGCTTTCTTGAGCTCGTTCTGCCATCAGCTCAGTGTGCTGCTCCTTTTAAACCTGACAGCCCCCGGTATAAATACAACTTTATTGCAGATGTGGTCGAAAAGTCCTCTCCAGCTGTCGTGTACATTGAAATCGTGGGCAGGTGAGTCGACTGGAAAAGTGCCATACGGAATAGTTCAAGCGGCAAGCTCATAGCAACAATTACTTTTGGTATCAATTTAAATTAATCATTTACCATGTAACATGACAAAGGTCCATCATAAAGAACAGAGCGCACACATTTCTTAAATAATGCCAGCAACTGAAAGTCCAAAGCATTTAATTTTAATGATGTGAAACATAAAATAATTAACTGTCATTATGTGTAAAGTTGTCATCAGATGTTTGTTTGTTTTTTTTGTTTTTATGTCAAGCAGGTTATTTTCTGTCAAATAATCTAATCAACTAATTCTCCACTTATCACTAAACCATTTAGACTGGTTTGTGGTAATGTAATTAACTTTGTGTGTGAATATGGGAGTGTGCTCTACTAAAGCACATCATCAAATCGCATGATGAGGGCTGTAAGGTGGGTCCTGCCTCCCTGCTGTTGTTGGAGCTGAAGGTTTTTTTCTCTGTGTACGTGTGGATTAACCCAAAAGACATTTTCCTTCCAGCCTGAATTAAGATCAACTACTTTTACTGTCTTACAGACACCCATTTTCAGGAAGAGAAGTCCCAGTGTCAAATGGCTCTGGTTTCATTATCAGCAGTGATGGTCTCATTGTCACCAATGCTCACGTCGTGGCCAACAAGAGAGGTGTCCGTGTGAAGCTCACCAACGGAGACATGTACAATGCCACTGTGCAACACGTCGACCCAGTGGCAGACATCGCCACCATCAAAATCACTGCGAGGGTGAGCAGCAATCTACAGTAATCTGTTAAAGGAAGTGTATGGTTATATTTGATTTTACTGTGCCTCCATTGCTAGTGGTTAAAGCACCAAGACTACTTATCAGCAGATCATCACAGCAACAGACCAAATCAGAAAATTCAAAGACAAGAGAAGGACACGAGTGGTTTCTTCACACACGTGAAACCAGGGGAATGTCTAGTGGTTGACAACAGGTGATGATTTATAATAACATTATTTATAATATATAATAGGATTTCAGCAAATAAGGAGGGAAATACACTAATGAGACTACAAAGTGATCAAAAATAGCAACTATTATGGCATTTTAAAGAGACAACCTTAAACATCATTCTTGTGGCTGATTAATATGCATTTTAAGATATTGTGCAGCCATGTATCGCTTATCTGTTAGAGGGCAACAAGCTTACTTTAATGTACAGTATAGAAAAGCAGTCTCAAGGTCATAATTCTCACATACTTCAGACCGTTTAACTTCTTATAGCCTCAATTAAACCTCCTTTACGTCAATGACTGTTGCCTGAGTCTTGGCGTGCTGGTTTTCCTCATCAGAATAACATTTATATTTTTTTAAAGCAGTACTGTCATAGAAGAACTAAAGGCTGAGCCCACATCTTTACAATAGCAGGACACTTGCATGATCAAATCATAAGATAAAATAGAAAGCTTTATTCTCCAATAGTGTGAATGACCAGCGATCAGTGAGGATGTACTGTTGAACTGCTCTTTCTCTCCGTTCCTCTCCCCTGACACGTAGAATCCTTTACCCACGCTCACCCTCGGTCAATCGTCTGATGTTCGGCAAGGAGAGTTTGTAGTCGCCATGGGGAGCCCGTTCTCTTTACGGAATACAATCACGTCAGGAATCGTCAGCTCAGTACAGAGAGGCAGCAAGGAGCTGGGCCTGTCCAACTCCAACATGGACTATATCCAGACTGATGCAACCATTGATGTGAGGAATTTTAAAAATGTAGATGTGTTCTGTCTGTTTTAACAACAAATAATATTGTTAATGTTAGGAACAAATGTGTTTACTGGATCGGGTTAGGAAAAATTGCCAGTGTAAAGAATTCACTGTGACTCAGAAATGTCTCGTCTTATGCTTCCTGACGTCATGTGTGACTGATATGTTTTGCAGTTTGGAAATTCTGGAGGTCCCCTGATTAACTTGGTGAGTCACAGGTCCTGTTTAAATGTTAATCATTATATTCACATGTCACAAAACCTGTTCTGACTAATGTGAGTTTAACAAAATTGTTGCAACCTTTTGTCTATTGTTACAGGATATTTAGAGTGATAGTTTTGAGTGTGGGTGGTGATGTGTGATTTGTATCGACGTTTTTATGTGTTTAGATGTTGCTTCCTAGCTACTAGAAAAATCATCTAATAATATGTTGGTGCACAACACGTTATCCGAATGTGTTATCTCTCATCTAATTAGGATGGTGAAGTCATCGGAATAAACACCATGAAGGTCACTGCAGGGATCTCATTTGCTATTCCGTCCGATCGCTTGAAGCTCTTTCTTCATCAAGCAGCAAAAAAGAAGAGTAAGAACAGGCTAAGAATCAAAAATCAACCCCCCCCGTCTTCCATTGAAGCATCCAATTGTTCTCATATTAATTAAATTATTTTTACATATCCCATTTTTGTGCATCTTCTTTCAAGATTCTTGGTTTGGTGAGTCAGAGATGAAGCGGCGGTACATTGGTGTAATGATGCTGACGCTGACACAGAGGTAAATGATAAATTCCTGCAGTATTATATAAACTGAGTGAAGTGCTGGCACCAAAGCCATGTGTGGTTCTGTTTCGTCCCTTTGCTTCAGCATCATTGCAGAGTTGAAGCTGAGAGACCCATCCTTCCCGGACGTGACGCACGGCATCCTGATTCACAGAGTGATCATGGGCTCCCCGGCCGACCGGTAAGGAGACCAAGCAGCTGTGGATGAATGGTGATCCTTCTTAGTGTAGGAGGCTTTGTTTCCATTCAGCCACTTAATATTTATATCTAATGCCTGTATTTGTGGTTGTATTCCTACAGACTGACATGAGGCTGCTGTGTCAAATAGACATTGCAGGATATGTCTGGTGTAAAGAAATTTATGTAGGAAGGTTTTTTTGAAGGTTGAAATGTTTTTGGCTATGCTACTTATACAGCAGGGTATTCCCATATTAATGAAATCTATAAATTTAATGGACATCATTTTGAGTCATCATGAAAATGTGTTGACAGTGCTTTTTAAATGTTAAGTTAACCAGGTAGTACACTGACCCAAATGCACATTTTCTGGTAACAGTTATAGTACTGATTTGAGATAGACATTCACACACATTGTATTATATAATGTCCATATGTATTATTTATGGAATTTTCCAGTAAGTATGTTTTTATGTACTTGTTGCATGGACATTAAAATAGTAGATAAGGAGTAAGGCTAGTATTTGTCGCTGCTAACCCGCAGTCCTGTCGTACGTGTTTCAGAGCTGGCATGCTACCAGGAGACATCGTGGTGGAGATTAATGGAGTGAAGGTCAACACCTCAGAGGAGATCTACCAGGCCGTCCGCAGCAGCGACAAAATCACCATGGTGGTGCAGAGAGGAAACGAGGTGCTTCATCTGCAAATGACTCCAGAGTTCACAGAGTGATACTAACCTCACGTTAGCCTGATGGACAGATGTAATTAGTTTGTGTACACAAGACAAGAAAACTGTGAAACCTGATAGTGACCGTGGTTAAATGAAAATGTGTTTGCAGTTTGAAAAACCGTGTTTATTACAAAAGCCATATTTATCAGTTCTGTTTAAACTTCGCTACAGCAGTGTTTTCCTGTTGATGGCTGTTATCTACACAATGATTTCAAGGTCTATTCTCAAATTCATACTTTGGACCATCATGAGCCTACCAGCACCTAAAGACTTAAACAGTGTTTTTTCCTGTTTTTCTCAGTACCATAAACAATGTTTTCTACCTCTACACTATGCTTTGTTTTATCTTACTTTGCAATGTAGCAAAACTATTCATGTAATGAATTGTGTCTACAGCATCTAAACTGCAAGTTAATGACACCTGAAACAATGTACTTTATTAAAGCTATTTAATGTTAAACAGCAACAAGCATAAGAGACGCAACAAGGAAGCATAAGAGACCCAACAATATGGCATGGATTAATGTTATTAAACTGACTACCATTAATTGAGCAAACAAGTTTGACAACTCACGGATGCTGCTATGATGATAATGATCACAAGTAAAATATGAATTTGGTGAGATTCCACTCATGGGTATGTTGCGTGCAGTAAAAACCAAAAACATGAATTCACTACATGTTGAGAAAAATGCCAATCTTCCATGATGAGACACAAACAAAAGTTACTCACAGATTTCATTTGAGAGTAAAGAGTCAAAGCTGTGAAGCCATACTGAGTAAGTTAAATTTTCCCTGGTATATGTACAGTAACACACACTTACAGTAAAGTAATAAAGTGACATGTACTGGACTGCTACACAATTAAATGCATTTACCTCAAAGACTGAGCCATTAAATGGAGATAACATTCAAACCATCTACGGTTTAAACAACATGTTCATACTTCTGGACTAAAGACATCTTGTTAGGTACAAGTACTACAACATACAAGTATGGGAGGAAAAATAAAATTGTTCAAATCCCATTAAAATGACTTTAAAAAGGCTTAATATATATTGCTGGTAATATTTTTCGTTTTAAGAAAATATAAATTGTGCGACTGAAGCTTACAATACACTGCTGGCAGTAGCGCCAGGTTCTGTGGTGACCTGCTGGAAAAGGGTCATCTGTCGAGGCGCTGTGTGCTGAGAGACTCCCCGGAAGAGAGAGAGAAAAAGGAAAAAAACAACAATTGGACATCTTATGATGCCTGAATCCCTTGCACCAAAATTCAGATGCTGCTATGGTGTTTGTCACGGTGGAATGCTGCAGATATCATGATGTGCACAAACAGCAGCCAAACTAGTCAAATTCGTAGATACATAAATAAAGGGCAGTGGGGTACGGTTAGGTGGGTTTGGGGTGGGGGAAGGGGAGAGGGAGTGACAATGTAGGGGAGAAATTGTAGTGTCCAGTCTAGTTCAGCAGTGAGCAGGCTAAGCATTCACTCAGTTGATGTGGTCCAGAGCACGCATCAGCTCCTCCCCCTGCAGCAGATACTGACGACCCTGTAAGGGGGCGTTGACCTCGCAGTCGTCGCGGGTGAGCTGCGGCAGCGTGAAGAGGGTGCCGGTGCTCTCCGACGTGGTGCCCAGCAGACGACTCACCATATCTAAGGGAAAACAAGACACTTTGGTGTTATTTTTCTGTTGATGTTTTTTGTATCAGGCAACAGTCTAAAGTATTGACCCCAGATCTAGTTTGTTCACCTGAAGGCAACAGAAGTATGGTCCTGGTTGTTCCCGACTCGGAGGCCTTCAGCTTTTTGCCCTGCTTCAGTTGTTCCTGAGGCAGAGTTTCCTGGGAAAATCATCAAATACAGACAATTAAACTCTCCACCTATAAATATACAGTAAGACCTACAAACCGTGTTTGAATGTTGAGGACTTACCTGTCCAATCATCTCTTTTATGTCACCCAGTTTTCTTTTGCGCTGTGTGCTCTGAGCTGCCTGGGTCCTGAGCGACACTGTGTTGTCCGGGGTGCTGCAGCACAGCAAGAGCGATTAGCTAACCCAAAAGGCGATATGATGAAGCAATAAATATGGAGCACTTGGGAGACTTTACCTCTTAGCAAAGATGGTGGCAAGATGAAGGGCGTTTACTGGCTCAGGCGGTGCTGGGGAAGCTGTGCGACTGCCTGGTGAGATGAATGGGGAGCTGGGATAGCTGTGGATGTCCTGTGTGATGTGGATTGGAGAACTCTGAAGGGATTTGACTGGTCCACAAGACAGAGGCTCCTCTGGGGTCAGACAGCGCAGCTGGAAGTCGTCGTCCATGGGGATGTAGGGAGCCAACATCTCCAGGTCCAAGTCGTCCATCGCCTTAAGGGGAGAAAAAAGGTCTAATGAATCAGAATACAGACATCTTTTTCCTGTATTAGCTCAACAATCAACTTGATATAAATGCAGTAAAATCTAGAGTATCTCCTAGTATTATTACCTGTGTGGTGAAGGGGGTCTTGGGCTCTGTATCAATGGCAAACAGCTTCTCCACCAAGTCCAGTTTGAAATCTGAGCTCATTTCGGAGTCCATGGGGAAACAAAACTCCAGCGGACTCTCAGCCTTAAGAGAAGAGCAGTGAAAGGTCATTCCCTTCTCAGTGCATATCAGGTGGACAAAAAAGTCTATTGTCTATATAGCAAAATGAGCATAATCACTTGGTCTTACCTCTGCGGAACTGGTTGGTGTAGTGGATGGGGCTGGAGCATAGTCCCCGTCTTTTGTATCCTCAGAGGTTGTGGTGGTGGTGGTGGTGACATGGAGAGGCTCGCTGGGCGGCAGAGGGGAAAGAGGCAGAGCCAGCTTGTCACTCGTGGAGGGAAGCATTACATCGTTGTAGAGAGGGACATCCTTCAGCAGCTGGATCTCTGAATCTGTACCAGATGACAGAAGCAGTTTAGAATGGTTTCAGTCACTCAGGTTATGAACTTTGATTTTATGCTGTGGAGAAGTTTAAGAGTGTTTATATGAGGCCACGAACCAGGGCAGCTGAAGTCCAGGGAGATGATTGTGTCTCCAGCAGCTGGGGCCAGCAGGGTGAGAGCCTCAGGCACTTCCTTCAGCTGGTCATAGAGGCTAGCCAGCGGCTGGGTCTTTACCATATCAGTCAACAGTTTGAACACATTCACCTTTGGGCCCTTCTCCTCCTCCTTCAGCAGGATTGGAGACATTTCGGACGGGCTGCTCTCGACTACATCCTTTTCTTCCTCCTGCTCCTCCTCCTCCTTCACTGGCTTTACGTCCTCAGTCTGCTCCAAAGACAAGATCAGTTTTTCCTCCTGGATGCCACTGTAACAGAGTTCCACAGCAGTAAGATTAGGATTTTGAAAATAATCACAAGAGCACTGTATGCAATCTATTTTGTACATGGCAGTTATTCATCTCACTAAACTTGAGAGGAAAAAAAGCAAACTGACAGGTTAATACATTAGACTTTTCCAAAAGCCTTTATAGTACCTGAGCACAAAGTTGACACAGACAACGCACTGTGGCTGGGAGTTCTTGTTATTGTAGATGACAGTGGCTTGGGTTTCCACCCACACAAAGCCTCCTCTCTTGGCCAACATCCGGTACTGGCCTGTGCTGACCTGGCCCTTTGCAAACACTAGGAGCCAAGAGGGAAAATTAGAAAAGATTTAAACATGTGATTAAAAGTTTGGCAAATATAACACTGCTGGAATCTGATGTGAAATTAAAGGTTAACTTCAGTATTTTTCAACCTGGACATTATGTCCCATTATGTCCCATGTTTTTGTGTCTAAGTGACAATTTTTGAAATTGGTCCAGTATTGAGCGAGCGCACCACAAAATAATCCTCCGGGGCGATTGCGCACCATCAAAGCACGTCCATTGAAGTGCTGGTTTTTGCCACCGACAGGATCTGATTGTTAGTGTCTGGACAACCTTATGAAAATGATCCCTGCAGAAATAGAGCTTTTTTATTAAGAGTAGGATCCTTTTTGTTCAACCAGAAACAGCTGCTATATGGCTCTGTTCAAAGCCAACTGACTCCAGTGATATAAACATTTAAATCCTCAGAACACGGGGATCACTGGTCCACCGCTGCCTTGATCAGTTAGTTTGTCTGTATGGTAAGGATCTTTGCCATAAAGTTGTCATACGCCGCCTGTCAGTGGCAAAAAAATGCACTTTAGTGGACGTACTCTTTGACAGCCCTCGAAGGATTATGGTTTGTCTTCATACTCCAGCAATTTTAAAAACTGTTGTCCCCTTTAGTCACTTACAAACAACATAAGAAAATAGGGTCCAAGTTGAAAAATACATGGTGTTACCTTTTAAGAACAGGTTTTAATTTAAGCTCAGTGCACTCTTGGTGTTCATGCTTACAGTTGTGATGAGTCTTGGTAAGATGGTCCGAGTCCAGAGCATGATAGTACTCATACACAGAACGATTCAACAGGTCCTCTGGATTATAACCCATGAGCTCAGTGATCCTGGACAGGGAAAAAAAAAATTAAACTCTTCCACCCACACACTAAGAGGATTTAGAGACTACGCTCCTGTAGTATCTACACTGAACACTAGGTGGTTCTGTGTGACTGTGCTTGTGAGAGAGCTTCAGTAAGCAAATGAAAGGTTACTTACTACACATGTGTCTTAAAAAAACCTAAGTGTGTGTGATCCATGGTAAGCTTCTTAAGCCTATAATATTCACTCAAGATGGACAAACTCACCTCTCGTCACAATATGTGAACTTCATGTCCATTGTATGGCGGCTGAGGAAGGTTTTGGTGTCCAGAGGGACCTCAATGTTGGAGGGGTGTTGGATGGGGTCACAGATCAAAACCAGGTATGGAATAGGTGGCTCCTTTTGCCCGTTGGGAGTCTGCTCAGTGTGGCTGTAATATACACGAACATGACCTGAGCAGTGGAGCACCTAGAGAGAGACAACAGGAGAGTCACAACACTTTTTATTATTCTTCCAGATCCCAAAGATAGTAAAACATTTCCTAATGAGCAGACACTCAGACATAAGTAAATAAATACATGTATTCAGATTTTGACAACAGCTGCTAGTAGGGCGGCAGCAATAATTGTGTGGTCACATGAGATTACCTTGAGTGACCAAACACAAAGATTTGTCTTCCTTCTGTGTTTTTACTATTACATAAAAGGAAATCGTGACCATTAGGTGACAGGAGCCTGTGAAATGTCCTCCGGTATGAAATTTAGCCTACAGATGTTGATTTCCAATTATTCTAAACTATACTTTAATGTGCTAAAGGAAATGTAAAACATGTTTATAGAGTTTAAAGAAATAAGGTATTTGAGATAAATTTACTTTCAAATCTATCATCTTGAAAATTCATTAAATTATGTTTCAAGTGCATTATATTTTGGTTTGTTTATTATTCAAGTTCAAAGTTATCCATCATGCTTTGTATCAAGACTAACATGATGGTCTATATGCTTTCCTCTGCTGTTATACAGATTTTATATTTTGTGCATTTAAACTCCCACGTTTTCTAACTATTCACCTACAGAAAGATTAAGGATTATTGAAATATAATAATGCTTTTATACTAAAATGGTTACATGTGCCTAGTTGGTACGGCTGTGGCTTAGAGAATCAGAGGTTCGATCCCCAGATCCTCCAGTCTGCATGTCGAGGTGTCCTTGAGCAAGATACTTTCCCCAAAACTGCTCCCGATGGCTGCGTTAAGTGTTTGAGTGTGTGTGTTAAGTTGCTTTCAACTGATGACCAGTTGCATGAGCAATGTTGCATGGTAGCTTATTAAAATGTTGTTTCCTAAAATTTAACTGACCTCACTAACATATCTAGTGTTGATTACCGTACGTACAAATAAAATGATGGCACTAATGATGACATTGTTACTTAACACATGATTAACTGTATTACTGTACTGTTTTTAATACATTTCCTCACTGATTTCAATATGGCCTACCTTCCATGTAGCTGATTTGACATTGACGGTGCGGCCCCTGCTTGTGAGAGTGCATTTCATTCGGAGGAAGAAGCTGCGCTCTGTGTTTGGTTCCTTGGTCTTTTTGGAGCCTGAAAATCACATAAGCAGGAAGAGAGTAACAGTTTAAAAGAGGAAACCAGCTTCTTGTGTAGTCATTTCGATTTTGACCATTTGCACTTACAACTGCCTCTTTTTATTTAAGTTTTGTTTTATTATTAAGTTTTGCCAACAGTTCACATTTGCATTAAGTGGAGACATTAAGCTGTAATGGGTTTGCACTGTGGTCAGCTACAGCATCTTAAATAAATAAAGTGCTGTTACCAGCCGTTACAGCTGAGATAATATCAACGTGTACCAAAGTGCAATGCCTAGCAGAGCAGGTGGCCTCAAACGATCATGCAGTGTTGCATGATCATTTGAGTTTCAATGCAAATTATTTCATGAAGCACATTTCAGAGGGAAGCACTGGAAAGTTTTTAATGATTTTCACAATTCCATTGAAAAACTTCATTTAACCCACTAGAAACGATACAAAAAAGTAAACAAATTTTATTCACTTACACAAAGCAAGGCTAAATTCGGCTGAGCAAGCAGAACAGTAAATGATGTTGCATATAGTTCCAGTAATGCTGAGTGAAAGGTCACTGAAGTCCAACACTAGCCAGCTCTAATCATTGTGACCTCAGGACTGAAGTGGGGGAATGATAAGTCGTTCTGACAGCTTCCTTGTCTGAATCTGCAAGCTCAGAGTGAACTGAACTCCTTGCTGATTGGAGCACCGGCAGACGCGACAGAGTACTTGTGTGTGAGGTCTTATAATGTGACACTGCTCACTGTTGTTGTCCCTCACCAGTTTTGTGGACCAGCATCTCCCTCAGCTCCTCCTGGTCACAGGGATGTATGTAGTCAAACACGCTGTGTCCAGTCAGGTCAAACTGCAGCGGAAAGAGTGAGAACAGAATGTCCTTTAACAGTGTACATGCAGCGGTTTATAGTTGCTCATGGTAGAAATTGTGTGGTGATTTCTAACCTTCTTTTAAGTGGCCTAGTGTGTATGTGTCTATTTATTGACACAGTATCTGTTAAAACTTAATAGCCATATTTAAAAACATCAGAAACACAGTCATTTCCTTGGCTTAAAATCTCCTGCTTTTCGCTTTAATGCTGACACGCGGCAGGTAAAAATCAGACTTACCTGTGCCAGCCCGAGGCACTTGTTGACATTCTCGGAGAGATAGATCATATCTCCATCTTCAGACAGCACCATAAGGAAGCCTTCCAGGGCCTTTAGGTAGGAGCTGTTGAGTAGGACATCCAGCTCTGTTTCTTCCTCTGCCATTGGCTTATCTGGATGAGATATTAAGGAGGGGAGGAGAGAGAGATAAATAAAGGAAGGGAAAGAAAAGAAGCAAGAGGAAATTATGCACAGAACATCAGAAGTCTCTACTGTCCATGTTTGCAGGACAGAATACACATTGTACCCACAGGTATGTCTGCAAAGGGATCTATATTTGTGCATGTCGATTTCTTAGAGCAGCTGACTCAGTGCTCATTTTCCTCCGCATCTCAAACTGTGCTCCCGTTTTCTTTCACTCTTTCCTTCCTCCAAAAGACCCCTTACATTTTTTAAATTGTGGCTAACCAATAAAATTTAGTATCTTTGTCTAAACAATTATCAAGTTGCCTCTAAGAAACTAATAAAAATTACATTGACAATTTAATTGTCACTGGGAGTCCAGAACTACAGGTATGACAGTTACTGACCAGTGCCGAGCAGTTTTCTCATGCGCAGGTAGCTGATGGTGAGCCTCATTATTGACGCCTTGTCCAGACTGGAGCTGACGCTGTGGGGCAGAGGCAGCTCCTGGGCCAGCTCGTAGAACACCTCCGACTCCTTCCCACGCCGGCATCGCGCTGCATCCCTGGACTTCTCCTTCCTACGCTCCGAGCTCACCCTGCGGGAGACAGGGGGTGGGTCAGCCACAGTCTGGCCACAACCTCGTTTTGATCCCACTATGCACACTACGAAAGCTGACATCCCCCCTTCCCTACAGTGTGTGTTTACAGGGTCTGGGAAGCCACTGGCCTGTCACTAGGGAGGCTGCAGCAGCTGGAGTCCGCAACATGCTCATGGCCAAGCTGCTGTCTGGAGTCCTGTCAGACTAATTTACATACGTGGCTATCTGCGCCGTCTTATTGGCTGCTGACCAAAAGAATTGGAGTCCACCTCCTCAGTCTGATTGGCTGGGAGGCCAGGCACAGATCCTCCTGCCTGTCTCTTGGTGCGCAGCCAAGCTACAGTGCAACACCAATCATTGTGACATTTACGAATCTGGCTCACTGGATCTACAGAGAGGATAATGATAATACTGGCACCAACACAGAGAGCACACACACAAACACAGAGGTGAGTGACATCTTCAAATATTATTTTCCATTAGCATCCCTCATAACTTGTTTGATCATTTTAGATCAAGATTCTATCCAGGCAGTTTTCCAAAGTCTGGCTAATGATCTCTTACCACACTGTAAACAAGTTCTTAACACCTGGCAGAATTTTAAAATCTCAAAGTACAGCAGACTTTGAAGGACACAATGCTTTGTAAGTCACTATAAATAGAGAAAACAAGCAGCTTAGCACTGATTTGAGGTTTTATTTGTATTGGTGAGCATGTATGTGTGAAGCTCACATGACCACTGACATAAATAGACAGAGATAAATAGATAAATCTTCAACATGATTGAAAAAGTCAACCTGACTTGCTGTTGAATTTACACCTCAATCTATCTCCCTAACCATTACCTCATAATGTCACGTGCATTTAGCTGACACAGGAGCAGGATCACAACAAAAGGGATGGCAGTTCAAAAGCTCTCGGCTTCAAAATGTACACCTAATTGAAATTGATCTGTTGTGCACTTCCAGCATTGACCAAGGACATATCGTTATCTGAGGCTCGCAACAAGAAAATGGACCAGTTTACTAAAATTAGCCTACTGTGCATCAAATCACTTGACAGGGTGCAGGCAGATTTTTTACAGGGTAGAGTAGGTTAGGGGGCGCTTTTGGTTTTAGACCAAATAAAAATTACAAATTTATGAGTGTGGCCTTTGTCTCTAGGGCAGCCCCAAACCGGCATCAATGCAAGCCTGAGAAAAACATGAGTGACCCTGTTAACGCGAGGATTGTCTGTGCAGACTCTTGCTTAGGTGCCTCACTACATAGCATCACACAGCACAAATACTGCAATAGGTTGCAGTGGTCACAACCCAGATTATAATTACAGCTACAAGGCACAAGCGTATACACCGATCCATTTGCACATATGTCAATACCATTGACATGTGATCTTCTATCAACCCCACAGGACACAGCTGGCCATCATGAAGGCAGACAGAAGAAGAAACCAGTCCTGAACTGGATCAGCACATTTCCCTTCTTTCAAGTCTGATGTTTGGCTCCTACTGTAACACAATAATCCCCTCCAACCTACATCAATGTACATCTATCAACACAGGTTATAATTGTGACAAATGTTAATAGGGCCTTATTATTTACACATGGCAGAAAACACGTACAGGACCACACAATTTCATAATTATAATGGAATCAACTGTAACACACAATATTGTGGAATCTGCCAAAATGTGGATACAATTTTTAAAAAGCATTTAAAGCGTTTTCCACAGCACTTAAGCCAAACAAAAAGAAAAACTATACTGCTGTGTTTTGGTGTGATTTACAAGAACCTTGCTTCTCTCTGCTGTGTTTCATTGAACTCTCAAAAGTGCAATTACATCATCAAATGCAAGCTTGTTGGAGACTTCATGGCAGGTGGAGTCAGATATTCCGTTAAAAATGTTTTAGGCTAGTCTGGTCAAACTTTGTAAACAAGGAGGAGCACTGCCCATATATAAGAGAAACCTCTATCAGATCCACATATTAGCGTGTTGAGCAGCAGGATCTGTGGGAAGTTATAACCTATTTAATAGAGGACAATTCACAGTATATTGCTACAATGCAGTTATTGTGAATTTTCCCCATAAATATTGCACATGCATTTGACTTTTTCAAAATGAATATTTGCATGATACATCATGTTTATAGATATTGATTCAATTTGTAATATTTTCTTACTGAATTGTTGAAATTGTATTCCTCCACCACATAATTACACACTCGGATGACAAAATGTGCTTGAATGGTAAAACACAGAATTCCGAAAAATATAAACAGAAAACATGGAATCTGGGAAAACTTAAAAACGGACTTCATAGGGCCCTAGATTAACAAGCCCTTGTACACAGTGAACACACTCGGGATGCGCTCTAGCTGAGTTCAGGCTAAGCTTCTGATGATCCAATGACAGATAACCTCCACACATTGTTGTATACATTGGTCACACTGGGATGCTAGGCAATTGATTTGTACAATCGTGTGTCCAAATTGTTTCCCTCTCTAGTGGCTGCACCCCACTGTGTCACATGCCTTTATGCAAACCCTATTCAAATCAGGTTCCACTGTAATATTCCACAAGATACAACTCCACTGAACACAGAGGTACAATAAAGAGGTCATTTACCTAAGCCTACATTCAACATGACAAACAGTACAGCGGTCATTGTGCATTACTACAATAACAAAGCTTTATAAACACCTGTGACACCAAAGATTCAGAGGAGAAGTAGTAAGCTTATCTTTACCTACAGATCATAAAGGACAGGTTGTGTTGAAAGCATAACCTCTCTTCACAGTATCCAGTTTTAAAGAATACAGCCCTCCCTGGGACATAACTGTCTAATACAATATTACTTATGTACTTGTTTTTGCACTTCAGTCCTGTATTATAAAAAGTCAAAGTGCTGTTATTCAGTGACCCAATTCCACCGTTTTCAAACTTAGAAAAAGGGAAAAGAAAACTGCAATGACAACAAATCGCCTTTGTTTTAACATCCCTTGAAAATAGCAGAGGCCACCACTGTTACATAAGGCTATTATTAATGCACATGGTCATGCATACCCAGCAGTCTTCTGCCTGATATGCCTCACGGCGCACACAATCACATTTGTAGTTTTCCTAGCCTTAATTAGACTTGTTTTGTTTCTCAATAGGAATTTGTGCTATTATGTAAACAAAACTTATTAGGCGTTGGTAACAGATGTGAACAAGTAGATTCGAAATGAATAGGATAGCAAGGTCGGTGTAAAATGAAAATCAACCTTTCCATTGCAACCAGAGTTGCTTGTATAGTTTGTTACTAGAGGCTGAACTATTTAACTAGAGAAATGTTCCCCCAATCTGTCAGACCTGTGTTAGTATGACTGTAAACACTGTCTTATCTATTATATAATCCAGTTTGGGGAAATACAACTAAAGCTTCTACCCAATATGGTGAGAAAAGCAAAGCACGGCTGAAAACAAACACCTTGCATGAAGTAACATTCTTGGAAGCAGCACAGTAGGGTCTCCCCTACATTCTTGAATATGATGCCATCTGTGTATTTTCAAAATAAGTGTATGTAATTGTGGTGGATGATAAAAGTCAATATTACACCGTATTTTTGGAACTGGAATAATGGAGCTACAGTTGTGGCGATTCGTCAACGTATTCGATTACGTAAATACATCGACTCGCAATACGTAAGTCGAAGCGTTGCTGCATCCGGTGTTAGTGGGATTCCCCCGGACAAGCTCCAGCTACAAGGTCGCGCCTTCGACCGTCTAAAGTTGGGAGTATTTTAGACATACACATACACTCAACAACCTGGTGCTCGCTCCGTGAGCTTTAGTGCTGTCATGAATACGTGAAGCAAAAGTATCCCAGAACACTGACGGCAGCCCCGCAAATCGTTTACTTTCTGTCTCCACACGGCACATTATCATCACGACGACACGTTAAAATGTATTTTCTAAGTATTTCTTCATCGCCTTCATGTTAAAAGTAAATTCTGCCCCGCTGCTGTCATGGTAACACCGTGTGTCCTCCAACATTCTGCCATTTCATATTTTCTGTTTATTTAAGGACCACATATGAGTAAGAAAACAGCTGAAACTAACAGTACAGACAACAATAACAGTACAGTCTGTGAATCCTTTCAGTTGTTTCCTTTACCCCACATTGATACAGAAATACATTTGATTATCATACTGCATTACTCAATATTGAAATAAATTAGTGCTGGGCAACGAGTAAAATTTTTAATCGCGATTAATCGCATGATATTCTTGCAATTAATTGCATTGTTATGGGCAAAATTAAATAATGAATTCTAAAGTAGTGTATTGCGCACTTTTAATTTAAATGTACTGCTATATACACAAAAGTGCAATAACATGTGGTTTGCAAACTCTTTAAACAAATAAGGTGCTTTTTACCAGCAGTACTCCCTTTACACAGTAGCAATAAAATATTTCTTGTAAATCTCAACTTAAACATTAATGTGATCAAATCAAATATTAAACCAAAGCTGTTTGCCACTACCAGGGCATTACCTTTTATCTAGCTTGTTAAAAATAGTAGCCAGAGTCCAGTTTTCTTGGGAGGGGGGGTTCTGAACAGGTATCAGCAGAAACATTTTTCTTTTATCAGGGAGCAGCATAAACAGGCTATATTCAGTAGCAGCTGTCCTTGTTAAAGTGAGGTGAAGCGGTCGAGCACAAGGCGTGCGACAAGTGGGTGCGTTCCCGTGAAACGGTTGTGCTCGCCTCACACACACGTCCACTGCCAAAGCTGAATTGTCTTGAACTTTTTGTTTGTGCCGCTGAGCATAAATCATTGAAAGAGAGACTGATCCTTGCTGTTTGTGAGTTTACAGAATCTATTATCGTTTACTAAATAGTTATCAGGACATCAACAGGGGGGAATTCACATGGCAGAGCATCCCCGCAAAGCAAGATGAAGGCATATCAGGTAAAGTTATGTAGCCTATAACTTTAATTTAATATAAATAGGC